ACTTTGCGTTGTATGTTCCTTGAATACGCAGTATTCGTTACAGTCAATAAAACTGCGTGTTACATTACATAAATACACAATTTACCTGCAAAGACCTGTTGTTTAATGCACTGCCTACCACAGACACATTTACCGAAAACTGTAATTGATTGACCTGTTGTTAAATGACAACAGATTCTATATTTATTGTTTGACAATCAGATCATACAGTAAAAATATACAACGGTCCTGTGTTGTGTAGTTTTTTTTTTCACCGAGGACGAAGAAGGACGTCTTAAATAACACTTAGTGAAATGAAAACTCAACATACCGAATGTTATTTCACTTTGAAGCGATAACCAAAGTCATCGTTGTTGTATGATGTTTTACCTTCTACAGTGTCGTGTGGAGTATAAAAACAACTCAATGAATCTTTCTCCTGAAAAACAAAGTCAAACATTATTAGTCTCAGTGGTTAATAATATATTATCAATACCATTGACAATGATACGGAATTTGTTTGAATTTGCAAAAATTAATTGTGATTTGAAGTGTTTGTAAAATCAGGTTTTTTCAGATACTCTTTGAGAGGCCTACCTATGTAGTGTTTATCTCTGGACATGGCAGCCACAGCATCCTGGTGGCAGCTAAAGTGAACATCAGCCTCTCCATTCAGCCTCCCATTAGCATCATATTCAATCAGGATGCTGGATACAGGTAGAGGGGAGAAAAACTGCAGGGGAAAACAAAATAAAGACTTTTTTTTTTGTTACAAAATTCCAGTGCAAGCACAGAGCAGCAAATGCACCGCTTACATCAGGTAAAAACCTGTTGTTTTTCTCTCAACATTGGCAGAAATATCAGAATGGTATAATTGCTAACAGTTAATTTCGTATTTAAGCCAGGAAAGTTTGTTGTTTTTCAATGTCCTTTATATATGAATTAACAATACAGACATATTTTATTTGACAACATCAAGTATTTTTACCTTCACAATGTCTTCTGCAGATGTCTTAAAAGGGAGACCTCTCATATGGAAACAATGAAGCATTGCAGGTGAGATCTGTAGAGATCCTGATGGAGCAAACAAATGGGTATTCAATCAGTTTTTTACCAGAATTATTTTTCTACTTAATTCATTTTTTAAAAAACTTTTTCAAAATGTTTGATGCTACATGCTAGTTATTTTAGTAAAATACACAGAAAAGGGCAGAAACAATACTTTGAAAATTATTGTATGTGAGAATTACAGTATATGATGCTATGTTTTAATAACAATAGTCTTGAGTGGTCTCTTGTCTGTAATGGGTTATCCATTTCTCACCAGTTTCAGTGTTGTGTTTTGGGACAGAGGGAGTTCTGCTGGCCAACTGTGAACTCTTCTGTGCAGATGCTGAATTCTTCCTACTCTTCCAGCTTGAGTGAATCTCATCACTTGCACTGGTAAGCACTTCAATGTACCTGCAAATATTCCCCACAGGACAGTATATGGTGGAAAAATTGTGGTTAAAATGTACTTTAAATGTTGAGATTTGCATGTTGGCGCTTTACAAAACTGAATAACTGCAGAATCTAAGAGATGCTTCTTACCTGTTCCCTATAAAGTCTTTATCTCTCTGGAGAGCTTCATCTGCCCCTCTCTTGAAGGGAAACTGCACATAGGTCTCTGTAGGCCTCCCTCTGCGGTCTGATGAAGGTGATTCCATTCTCCACTATATTCAAACCTGACAATGAAAGCAGATTCACACACTTTTTGCTCTTGGTTTATGATCACTTTTTTAAAACAAAACTAAAGGAAGAAAATAAAACTATCAATCAGTGATTTTATACGGAGCCCCTAAAGGGACATGGGGGGGGGGGGGGACGTATCTCGTGCTCACGAGATACTTTCTTGTGCTCACAAGAAAGTATATCTAAGATACCGGCATGTCATGCGTGACATATGTACTGTATATATGGTGAGCATTTAATTAATGTAGGATACCTCAGTTCGACACAGGAAGGCACTGTTGTTGTGCCCTCCTATCGCAACGACTGCGATAGGAGAGGGACCAGTGTATTTCGTGATAACTTTCACGTAATTACGTGATGTCTGTAAAGCTCATTGAGTTTGCTTTGTGCATGAAATGCGCTCTATAAATAAAATTTAAATTAATAAAATGGTGAAAGTCCACCTGCGAGCCAAGACTATGGCTCCCTTTCACGATTTCGATTAAATTTACAATGTGCTGCTTGGCTTGAGTCATGGTGAGATTTTACAAATATTGGGCTTAATGCGATTGTTATTAGTGTGCGTACTCCGAAGGATGAGGAGGATGAACGATGAGGATGATTTATGTATATACGTATTTACCCTTCACGAACCTCCCTACACTGTTATCCACAGTAGAACAACAACAACAGTGCCCTCCAGTGTCTAACTGAGGTACCCTACATTAATTAAATGCTCACCATATATACAGTACATATGTCACGCATGGCATGCCGGTATCTTAGATTTCCCAACCGTACGTACTGTACATGATTGTTTGTTATTTTAATGTATTACTCTGTATGTATGTGTGGCAAAATGTCTTAGATATACTTTCTCGTGCGCACGAGAAAGTATCTCATGAGCACGAGATACGTTTCTCTCTTTTTTATTTCCATGTCCCTTTAGGGGCTCTGTAATTTTACCTACTGTGGGAACAATTTCAAAAAATATTTCAAATTGAAATAACTCCACAACCATGCGTTCCCCCCACAACACATCCATCGGAGCCGCACCACAATGCTGTCAGCTGCAGGCTTTAAGGGTTTCTTCAGCATCACTGTTTGTCACTTCATACACTGCAGACACACACAACATGTGATTTCATACAAATACCTTGAAACGTTCAGTTAATCCTTTTGGACAAGTCACAAATGTACGCGTCCCTCAAAGAGACAAACCTTCTACATATCTTTCACTGATGTACTGTCTGTGTTTCTCTAAAGCTCTGCTGACGTCTTCCTCATTCTCCATCTCGATGAAGCCTCGACCCGACAGCCTTCCCCATCTGTCCAGAGTCAGGTGTATCCCATTCAACCCATCACTGATCCTACAGTCTGCAACAGCAAAAGAGAATTAAGAAATGGAACAATTTTGAAAAAAGTATGGGACCACAGAAAAAAAATGGTACTACTATTGAACCTTAACCTGTATTTTCACATAATTCTTACCAGAGAAGAACTGCATGACGTCTTCAGCAGAGCATGACCATGGCAGACCTTTGAC